CAAGGTGACACCGAAGACACACTTCTTTGGGTTCAGTTTCATGCTAAATTGACGCAGAATTTGGAAGATAGAATCTAAGTCTTGTATTAACTTCTGTGAAAACTGCATCTTGACGACCATGTCGTCTACATAACATTCTATTTTCATGCCAATTAAGGGCCGAAACAGCTTATTTACAAGTTTTTGGAAGGTCGCCCCAGCATTTTTCAATCTGAAGGGCATGACCTTGTAGCAGTACAGGCCGAACTCAGTTATGAAGCTGGTTTTTTCCTCATCGAACTGGTCCATCCTGATTTGGTTGTAGCCCGAGTAGGCGTCCAAGAAGCTTAGCAACTCATGTCCCGAGGTTGCATCCACTAGGCGGTCAATCCTGGGGAGGGGGAAGCAATCTTTCGGGCAAGCTCGGTTCAGGTTGGTGTAGTCGACGCACATGCGCCACTTGCCGTTTGCCTTTTTCACCAGCACTGGGTTGGCTACCTAGATTGGGTAATGAACTTCCCTTATGAAGTCTGTTGCAAGTAGCTTTTCGACTTCCTCGTCGACCGTCCTCCAGCACTCTGGGGCTAAGTTGTGTTTCTTCTGTCTAATGGGTTTGACTACAGGATCAGTATTAAGTTTGTGAGTTATAAGTCTGGGGTCAATACCGGGCATATCGGCCGCGGACCATGCAAAAATATCTAAATTTTGAAGTAAAAAACTCACTAGTTCGGTTCGTAGAGGTTCCTTGACGGAAGCATCGATCTGTAGCGTGCGAGCTGGGTCCGTAGCCGAAGTCGGGATTGCGGTCGTTTCCTCTGTGGGCGAAGCTCGTTCCTCGCCTTGCTCCGTAGGCCGCTCCAGTTCAAGGTCGTCGGTCGCCTTGGTTTTTCCCTTCAGGGTGGCAACATAACACTTGCAGGACTCAAGCTGGTCGCCCCGCGCTACCCCCACACCAAAGTCTGTAGGGAATTTTATTGCCAAATAGTAGGTGGAGACCACTGCCCGCAGGATATGCATAATTGGCCGCCCTATTATGGCATTGTATGGGGAGGAGGTCGCGATCACTAGGAAATCGTGGTTGAGTCTGACTGCACAAGGCCATGTGCCGACTTCCACAGGTACTGTTATTTTCCGGAGGGGCCTGACTTCCTCTCCGCTGAAGCCCACCAAAGGAGTATTCGCGGGCTTTAGCTCGCTTCTCTGCAACTATAGCTGGTCAAATGCCAACTTGAAGAGGATGTTTGCCGAGCTGCCCGAATCCACAAGTACGCGCCTGACCTCGAAGTCACTGATCCTTAGTTTTATGACAAGTGCGTCATCGTGGGGGTAGTGGACCCCTCGCGCATCGTCTTCCATGAAGAAGATCGGTTCTTCCGTTTTCGGCCTCTTTGGAGGGTTATGGTCTTCTCGGGCTGCTTCGCGAACTGACGTCTGGGCCGCTTTCGAAGTACAACCTGCTACCACCGAACCTCCCACTATCACATGGATGGTTCCCTGAATTGGCCTCTCTTCCGGAGGCTGTCGTTGCAACGGTTCGGCTGGCCTGTAGCTGGATTCGGGGGCATCCTTTCCGTGCTCCCCTTGCTGGCCTGCCTTATTGTTATTATTATTATCATGCTGTACAAAATTTCTCAAGTATTCGCGATGGATGAATCCCTCTATCTCGTCTCGGAGATTATTACACTGTTCGGTACTATGACCGTGATCTCTATGGAAACTACAGTACAAGTTTTTATTTCTCTCGTTTGGGTTCCCCTTTAGGCGAGGTGGCCATTTTGCGTATGGGGCGTCTTTGATCGTCATCAAGATCCCGGTCCGCCTCGTGTTTAACGGTGTGTAGTCCGTCCGAACTTCTAAGGGAGCTTAGAACGGCTGGCTCGGCTTCGGCTCCCGGGCCAAGTTATTTCTTTTGTCGACTGGATTGGAGGGCTCACCTTCCCTCTTTCTTTTCTCGATCCCACTTTCGGTCCTTTGGTTGATCTCTTCCTCYGTTCTCATGAACTTATCCGCGAGCTTGAGGAATTCGGCCACGGTTGCGGGCTGGTTAGCTACCATGTGCCATTTGAACTCCTTGTGGGTTACTCCTCTCTTGGCCGCCGCGAGCTGCACTGTGGGGTCCAATTGCGGTATCTACAAGCACGCTTCATTGAATCGCTTGATGTAGCCCCGGATGGACTCTCTTTCCCTCTAAGCTACTCCAAAGATGTTTTCCTCGGTTCTGGGGCATCGTTTGCTGGTGACAAAGTGTGCGGTGAAGACCTGCACGAACTGGGTCCAACTTCTTATCGACCCAGGGCCAGGTTCCCGTACCAAGTGCGGGCCACCCCCTGTAGGTGGTGGTGAAGGCCACACACATGCACGATTCACTGGCCCTAGTTAGGTGCATTTGGGACTGGAAAGCATCGACATGGTCATTGGGGTCGAAGGACCCGTCATACTTGTCCAAAGGCGGGAGCTTGAAGTCTCTGGGCATGGGGACTGCAAGGAGTTCTGATGCAATGGGGGAAGGAACTGAGAGAATTGGAGCAGCTTTTACCTCGTCTGAGCTCGTCTCTTCTTTACCTCTGAGCTCGGGCAGGTCACGGGTGGCAGTTCGGCAACTTCGCTGGCGCCTTTGTTGTTGAGTGGGCCTGGTGCTGGCGTTGCTGGCCTCTGTGTTGCTGAGCTCGATGGGCCTGGGCTGTTGGTAGTCTACCGCTAGGATGCTGAATCGATTCTCTGTCAGCGGGAGCTCAGACTTGGAGTGCCAAGATACTGACTTGGCGGGCGAGGTGCCCGACCCGCCGGTGAGCTTCGAAGCGGGGGTGATCTTTCTTTCCCCTCGACCCGGGGATGAGGCCTGGCTCTTGTGGGGGTTCTGAGGTTGGGAGGCCTCTCCTCGGTGACGGCGTCCACTCTGAGGGGAGGGCTTAATCGGCTTTGGAGCAGGGTGCCGAGGTGGAAGCAGTGGTTGGTTCAGTGGTAGTTGGGGGAACTGCTGCTAAAAGTGATACTGAGAGATGTGGTGCAGTACTTGGTGCTGCTGGAGCTGATGTTGCTGGAATTGTTGCATTTGGGCTTGCATTGCTAGCATGCATTGCATCAGGTCGTCCAACTGGTTCTGGCTGGTCGCTAAGGGGACAGCAGTTGGTTCAGTAAAGGTTGTTTCGACAGGGAGAGGAAAGGGGACGTTCATGGCAGGAAGGTTTGCGAGCGCCACTGTTTGTGGCGCATTCAAGCTGGGGATCCCATCCACCAGAAGGGGGATGGTGAACTGTTCGATGCACACCACGGGTACTTGAAGTTGTTCCCCGGTGGTGTTCATCTCCGTGCCACGTCCGGCATTGCTGGAAGAAGCCATGAGTGTTGGGGTTTTTGGAAAAAAGAGGTTATGAGAGAGGGAGGCTTTTAGAAGCGTATTCCCACAGACGGCGCCAATTGATGGTGCGCAATCCGGCCGGTCTTAGCTGTCAACGACCTTGCCTCTGACTGGAGCAACAGGGGGCCTGAAACGAAGAAGAAAGTGGGGAGTCTCCAGGGAAGAACCCGGGGAGATTGCTCCGAAGGTCAAGTTAGTATTCTCTCAAAGGCAAGATAAAACCAGATGGCGCAAAGTTCACATACCTTGTCCTCGGGGGGTAGAGAGCCTTTTATAACCACTTTGTGCACTCACTCCTAGGCTTCTGTCAGGTCGGGTATGATTACTTCTGTGCTTCTGCCAGTTCGGGTGTCATCACCTCTGTTGGGACAGAACCGCCACTGCTATTTGTTGGAGCCGTCTCTGTAACTGGAGATGGCGGTGGCAGGTGGCCGTTGGAGTACAGCTGTCAAGCGTCAGATCCCAAGTCAGTCAGGTGCGCCGCCCTGGATACGGACTCCTTTGGTGTCAGGTACGGTGTGGTTTGTTCAGTTCGGTGTCCTGGAGGCGAAGTGTTGGAGTGGTGTGCGAGGTTAAGTCTTGAGTTCGGATAGAGGTGTGGCCCGAACTGCCATGGGGCAGGCCAGTTCGGGTTGTTGCCCTTTGTGTTCGTAAGGCTCGGGGCCTAAGGGAGAGTTCGGGCTCCTTATGGAGAGTTCGAGCTCTTTGCAGGGAGTTCGGACCGCTGGTTCCTCCTTTCGGAACTCGCGCCTTTGCGAGCTGTTGCCTTTGCCACATGTTGAGTGGTTACGAAGTCGGGCCAAATCTTCCTTCATCATTGATAAAATATATATTTACACACATTTACACAAACACACACATATATATATATATATGTATGTTTGTATGTATGTGTGTAATATAATATATTTAAATGCATAGAATGCTGATATGGAATAGTGTGATTTGTTCGACCTGGGCAGTAGTTGAACGACCCGCACCCCGAAGGCAAAAGTGAGTCGACCTCGAGGTTAGTTTTTAAAACATTGGAATAGATTACTAAACCCTTAAATATTATTTAATTTATTTTTATTCACTAAAAGACAATGCAATAACTTATTCAATTTGGTGAGTAGTCCTTATTAAATTACCTCTTAACCTTTTAAAATTATATGTTGTTAAAAACAGAAAAAAAAAACAGATATATAATTGATTAAATGAACAAAAACAAAAATAAGGAAAAATTTATTCTAGCATCATAAAAAGTAAAACAAAAACAAATGAAAATGAAGTGAAAAACTACTTAATGTTTTTGTAAGATTCTTCCAAACAATAGTAAACAATCAATAGATTTTACGGGCCGCATAGATTTTTCCTCCATGTAATGCACTAATGCTATTGGACGCCTCAAATGCTCTAAGAGCAAGTGGCTACAAGCCTACAACTAAATAACTAAATTTAAAGATGACTACGTTAAATCTATGAAATGATGACGAAAAGGTATCCACTATGGTAGTCGAATCAGACAATCGGATTCAAATTCGAATTCGGATGGATGGATACCATTTACAGCTCTCACTTAGAACTTCTTAGTCAGGCCAGGTTTAAACGGATCCGGATCAGGATTAGACATTCGGACATGGTGGCGTAAGTGTACAAGTCTAAGGATCAATGTTGTGAACTGAACTCCACCAGCACCAAACCAAATCCCGACTTAAACAATTTGGCTCAACAGTTGCTGCGACTGGCAATCCTGGTAAGGAGAGAGAGAGAGAGAGAGAGAGGAGTGGAAGAACAATGTATCCTCGATTCGTATCGCTGGCTCGATGCCTCAAATCCTCCCAATCACTGCCCCAAATCCACCACCTCCACGTCCACCAAATTTCTCTACCTCTTTCTTTTGTAACCACAAACTCTCTGCGTTCCTTCTCGTCTACTTCTTCTTCTTCATCCTCTCCTTCTGTGCAGACTCCGAAACCCGAATTTCCACAAACCCTAGCTGGATTGAGAGAACGCCTTGCAGTCGAATCTCCATCGCTCTCTGACTTCATCCATCTTCAAGAGAATGATGAGTACTCTGTCGAGGTTGGAACAAAGAAGAATCCCCTTCCTAAGCCCAAATGGATGAAGGAATCGATTCCTGGCGGGTCGAAGTATGCTAAGATAAAGAAAAAGCTCAGGGAATTGAAGCTCCACACCGTATGTGAAGAGGCTCGGTGTCCTAATTTGGGTGAGTGTTGGTCAGGTGGAGAGACCGGAACGGCCACCGCGACCATCATGATCCTCGGTGACACTTGCACGCGGGGTTGCAGGTCAGTTCATCATCAATTACTTGTTTTAAGCAATTTTCATCAGCCTTGTTGGGGGGGAATTACGATATTGTGACTTATATGTTCTTTTGTTGACCTATTTCTTTTTAGGTGTTGAGATAGAAATTCTCTCAGTTCTCTGTAACATTTTTTTATATTGCGTAAATCACATCTAGGTAGCAAACGGTACCATATAGGAGTTTCAGGTGTTTATTGTTGTTCCTAAGCTAATTAGTTCGACTATAAATATGTAAAAAGGGCACTTTAGATTAGTTGCTCCTTTTCCCCCTCTGAAATTATTTTAAGAAAATATAGAAAGAATAGGAACATAAATATCAATCCAACTTTTGATTCTTGAATAGAGGTTTATCATACAACGGGATGAAACGAGTGTGATTTTATCTACAGACATTAATGAATTCTATTCCTTGCTGATTTCAGAATCTAGGTAATTGAAACCAAGGCCAGAGCCTCTATTATCCTACATTGTAGATTCCATATCCGTGGAGTTTGATGATTCCGTCTAGTTACCTTGCGTTTGACCCTTTTGCAGCCCAAGAGCAAGCTGGAAGCTAAGACCCTGTGCTACAGACGAAGCCCTATCTATCATTTAGGAGCCCTTACCCACCTAATCCGAGAATATTTGAAAAATTTTGAGTCCCGAATCCCTTAAATTGCCCTTATACCTTGCCACCTTGAATTTCCTAGGTACATTCATCAATATTTACCTCCAACATTTCTGATCAAAATATTCTACCCACACACACTTCTTTCGTTTGTTGAGGGGTGGGGTGGGGGCAGTGGGTAAGATCTAGGATGCTGGTTTATCACAAGGAGAACCTCTTATGTGGTCTTGGCTGTTCTTGTCAATGCTTAAATGAAAAGAAAATGATGTTGGTAAACTAATGGTCCTTAAAGGTATTTGTTTCTCATCACGTCCCAGTGATTTAGCACCTCTGAAATTTATTTGGGAAAAATATTATGCTTGTTTGGAAGCTTTTAATTTGGTTATCTGCTTGTGCTATTTATCAGATTTTGTAATGTCAAGACATCACGTACTCCTCCTCCACCTGACCCAAATGAACCCTCCAATGTGGCAGAGGCAATTGCTTCATGGGGACTGGATTATGTGGTGATAACTAGTGTTGACCGAGATGATTTACCTGATCAAGGGAGTGGTCATTTTGCAGAGGCAGTGCAGAAATTGAAGGCACTAAAGCCCCATATGCTAATAGAAGCTCTTGGTATGGGTTATTCTTACTCCTAACTTTTAGTATGATCCATAAATTTGAAAAGGAGAATAAAACATTTCTGTGAATAATATGGATGCCAAAACTTGAGAAGGTCCCCATATACCGGATATAAAAATTTTAAGTCATGTGAGCTCACCATGAGATTTTAGACAAGACTATGATCCATATAAAAAACTGAATATTTTGAATAATAGGCTTATTATGGTCCTTTATCTGGCTTATGCTTGGCCATGGACCTCACCTTGATACGTTCTACCAAATGATGGAAAGAATTGTGACATACAGCATATTTATGCCACAATACCACAGATAGTTTTGGTGGAGCTTAGATTTGTGTGTATCCTTTTCACACTAAGAGTGACCAACTCACCAACATGTATCCTCCACTAATGGATTAATTCCCCTTTTCAATGTGTCTAAGGAATATTATACTCATAGTGTGCCAAGGATTCATATTTATACAATGTGGTTTCCTATGTTGAATTATGTAATAAAACTTCTCATAATGTTGGTCCTTATATGTTCATCTTAAAAATTTTGCAAACCCTCCTCCTTATTCATTCTTTATGGTAACCATATGTAGTTCCTGATTTCCGAGGAGACCCTGGTTGTGTAGAGAAAGTTGCAAAATCTGGGTTAGATGTTTTTGCTCATAATATTGAGACAGTTGAAGAGCTTCAGAGGGCAGTGCGGGATCATCGTGCTAATTTCAACCAATCCATTGAGGTTTTAAAAATGGCGAAAGGTTATGCACCTTCTGGTACACTTACCAAGACATCAATAATGCTGGGGTGTGGAGAGACACCTGATCAAGTTGTGAAAACAATGGAGAAGGTAAGGGCTGCAGGAGTTGATGTCATGACATTTGGTCAGTATATGAGACCATCAAAGCGCCATATGCCAGTGTCCGAGTATGTAACTCCTGAAGCTTTTGAGAAATATCGAACCCTAGGCATGGAAATGGTATGCTCTGGTTTTTCAGACTTAAAAATGTTACCCTTTTGTTTGCTTTTGCAGACTCTTAATTCCTTAAATATTCTTTATCTTTTGCTTTATAAATCTGAACAAATGACCGCAATTACTTACTTACATGCCATGAGATCAACACTCTTTTCTATCCTAGAGTCTTCATGCTAATGGATAGGCTAGAGAACATTAATTGCTTAGGGTGATAGGCAACAGTAAGAACCTTTTTGCTAGAAAAGTTTGATTTTTTTTCCAATTGATTGGTTATTCTGCAGGTTCTTTTAAGTGCTTTCTGTACTGAATTTTGCTTTTTGATCAAATTGATGAAAAAATTGGTCAAAATCAACTTGTTTGTAAATCATAACCATATAGTAGTATGCCATCATTACTTAACTTTATAAGACCCCCATTAACCCAGCGATTTAAAAGGCGCGCCTAGGTGCACAGGCGAGGCACATTTTGGGGTATGCACCTTGCCCAGGTCCTAGGCACACCTCTTTCAAAATGCGTGCGCTTGGTGCGCCTTGCGCCTCATCCCAGGCGTGCGCCTTTTTAAAATTTTGCGCTTTTTGCTTTTTTTTTTGAGTCTAATGGCTAGGCCCCCGACCACGCCCCTCAAAGCAAGCCCGAACAAGTCTATGTTAGGGTTTGAAATTCTCTGAGAACCCCCTATTTGCTGATGTTGTTCATTCATTCATTGCGATAAAATATCTTCTTAAAAGGCAATGAAAGTTGTAAAATCAGTATTTTTTATGTGAGAAATAAGGATTTCAAACCTAACATAGACTTGTTCAGGCTTGCCTCGAGGGGTGTGATACAAAGGCGACTCATAGAATCAAGAATGCAATACGTTTTACATCGCATTAATTACTTGAAGCAATGCAACTAAGGAAAAAAAAAGAGATTGTGGGTTTTACATGCTTGAAAATGCTTTATATGTTTGCTTTTATTTTTAAATTTTCATTTGAATACACTTTACATGTTATGTTTATGTATTTTAATTTTAGATAATAGGTTTTTTAAATCATTTATTTTAAAACTTAAGTTTATATTTTTATTAACATTATGTTTGATATATTTTTTAAAATTTATGCATTTTTTTTTAATTTTTTGGCATTTTTTGGAATTTTCTGACTTTTTTTTTATTTTTTTAGATTTTTTTTGTAATTTTGCGCCTTTCTTAAAAAGGCGCGCGCCTCGCCTTGCGCCTCGTGCCTCAGGTGCAAATTGGCCCTTGCACTTTTAAAACACTGCATTAACCATGGGCTGGTATACATAGCCAGTTTAGGAATCTTCTCCTAGATTCATACAAAAAATGGCACATTCTAGTATTTGTAAATCAACCTGAACTACAAAGTAGGTAACTTTAGGTGTAATTATGACATTTATTAGATCATATCCAACAAGCTTTTGGAAGGCAATAGTGCTATACAAAAATGTAAAACTGTATTTTCCTCTTATGTATTAGGTAGAGGAATATACAGTTTTATATAAGAGGAAAAATGCATTTATACAGAAGGTTCAGTTAATGATGTTACATTATAGACACTGTTTGATGTTTTTTTCCTCAAAAAAAAAAAAAAAGTACATGCATTTGTATGTTATTACTGGCTATGTGCTAGTTATTATTTGTTTATGCTGTTTGGAGCTCATCTACATTGTATTCCTATGTATTATCTTTTGAGCAAGAAATGTCCAATATATGCATTCTTATTTTTGTTGATTCATAAGATAAAGAAGTTACAACAAGGCATAATCTGGGTCAGCTTTGGGGTGATTACAGCCTTTCCCTCAATAGTATGTATATTTTTCATTTGCTGATTTAGTAATTCTTTTAGGCTAAATTGAGAAACCTTCCCGGTGGTTTCTTAAGTATTATTTATCTCTTTTAATTTTTAATTGCATATCTCCTCTTTATTAGGATTTATCATTTTGGGTGCTTAAATCAATATGTTACAACTACGCCTAGTTACAAAAGTGGGGACCTTGTCTCTCTTGTTGACTCTTCCTCCTTTTTGTATTCCCATTCCTGTCCTGTCTTTTTTTTTTTGGATTTTTAAACATTGTTGTATCTTTTACTTTCCTATTGTGTCCTTTTAATTTGATCTTCTTTCCCACTTTTGCACAAGCCTACCTTCGTTGTTCTTAAATTTGCACATAGCACATGGATAGTTTGATAAATGCGTGGTTTTAATTAAGTTGGATTGAATGAGAAGAAAGAGAGAGTTCCGCGGTGGCCTAACAAAGGACCAGTCTTACCACCCTGGCTGCTAGATCAGGGGAGATGGGGACAGAAGGTCTAAAGCATGAACAACACTGATGAGAGTTTAGACTTCTTAAGAGATAAAGAGAGATCCCCAAAAGGCCCACTTGTCTAACCATGAAGACAATCTTATCCAGCTGAAGTGGAAGTCGTAATAGGGTTCTTTTTTTTCTTTTTGAGAAAAGGTAAAGTATAATGTATTAAAGAAAAAAGGTCCTGTGTACAATGAGAAGCTGTACAGAAAGCTATCAAAGAGGACTTCAAGAAAAGGCCATCCTCAAAAAAGTATAATCAAGAGTATCATCTTTAAAAACATTATGTATACACAACCAACTCCTAATAACCCCTATAGATGAATTGATGACCTTGGCTTCAGAGGAAGCTTTCTTCTCAAAAATCCTGTTCCTTTCTATCCAAACAATCCACAGAACTGCCAACGGAATGGATGATCAACATACTTTCCCTTTCTTTGTCAACCCAGGTATATGCCATTCTTCCAACAGAGCTTTCACCGATACTGTCATGCACCAAATTAATTCAGGGACTTCAAAAAGTGACTCCACACTGCTTTACTAAACTTGCACTGTAAGAGCAGATGCCTGGATGGCTCCACATCCGCATTACAAAGACAGCACCTTAGACCTGAACAATTAAAGCCTTTCTTCAATAGCATCTCTTTGGAAAGGCACCTCTCCAAAGCTGACACCCAAACAAAAAACTTGACTTTTGAGGGAGCCGCAGCCCCCCAAATGGCCTGGCTAGGAAAAGGGACTTCCTTTTCCCCCACTAGAAAGTCGTAAAAGGATTTGACTGAAAATTCTCCAAACTTATTCCACTTCTAAATCCTTGTATTCTGAGCTTGTGGATTTAACAGCCGGTTTTGTAGCAAAGCAAGGAGGTCTGCTACCAACTGAAGCTCCCAATCATTGAAATCCCTTCTAAAAGGGGTCGAGCATATTTTACTGTCAGTCAGCATAAAAGGGTTCTGTTACTTACAACACGTGATAAAATCTCTACATTTCCCCCCTTCATCACTAACTTCTTAATCCCTTGGTGAGAATCATCTAGAATTCTTTGATGGATGCTTTGAGGATTCTGGAAGGACCTGAACTGCTGTAATCAGGTTGTATGATGAAGAGATAAGACTGTCTTACATGGTAAAATATAATAGTCAAATAGATGTAACATTGATGATTGCGCTGCCAGGTGGTTGTTTCCGCATACATGTGGTGGAGCTCTGGTGTGCTTCTTCTGGAGTAGCTTGTCTCGGTGAAGTGTGTTTTCTTACTCATGCAGATTTTATGAGCTGCCCTTCGCCACTACTGACAGGGTAGCTTGGGCAGAGTGAGTGCCAGGTCGTCCAAGGTGAGCATTGGTCATCTGAGGTGAGCATTAGTTGTCCGAAGTGAGGATGTGCCCACATATCTTGATTTTACTGGAGGTCATTTTTACCCCATCAAACATGATGTGTCTCAATGCCTATGTCAAGAAGCTATTTCAAGAGCTAGGGGCAGGTTAGAAAAAGACAGGTTGAAGTAGTGAGAAAATGATTTGAGGGCTCATAATTTGGCAATGTATATGGAACCAAATAGAGCAGAATGGTGAATCAGGATTCCTTAGTAACCTCAATTGACTCTTTCAGGCTGCTGTGCTGCCTGACTACAATCCTCTTACTTGATTGGCTTGCCTGGAGTTTCAAGGGTGAAATATTCTCCAGGCGTCTCTCTTTACCACCTGCCTCAATTTTGCTGACTTTGAAAAGAATGCAATAGATTGAATTGTAACTATGCATATGCCTTTCTTGAATGTCCTAAATTGGAAGCATGTTTGTACTCTGTGTAGGGTTTATGGCATTTGTGGTTCATTGCTCCAAACTTTGTTAGATGTCAAATTTATTCCTTCCAAGTTCATGTGAGATGCTTATTCTTTTTCCTTTTCTGTAGATGGTAGATTTTCTTTCTGTAGCCCATTATCCCATCTTTTTTTGGCCTGCAACAAAGAAAAGAAGGGTTTTATGGTTCTTTCCTGGGGGTTGGGGTTAGTCTGGTCCTCTTTTTAATTTAGTATTGGAGAGAGTTGGAGCTAAACCCTGCCCGTCTTAGTTGGCATATTGGCATGCAATTTCCTCCATGTTTGCGTACCCTACAGGGGTTATCCTATGCAGATTCCTGACAATTTTCTGTTTGGTGATCTGTCTAATTTCTTAGTTGACTATAATAATGATGCAGAATGGTCAAAGATCTTGCTACACATTTTCTTATTCAAGCCATTGCTTTGGATTCATTGTTTTGTTCTGCACAATAACTCCTCCAGTATTATCTTCTGGGTCACACTCTGCTGGATTGTTCCTTCCAAATAAACTAAGAAGTTTTTCATTGGGACATTTGCACATGCCCCTGTTAATGTATTTTGGCACATTTTCACTGTGCTTTTCTTACTTTGTCTTTTAGTATTGCATGCAACATTATTTATATAATTGTACTGTGTTTGCATTATCTGAATTTATTTTCCTATATTGTGTACTGTATGTCTGCAAAATTCACATGAAGGGTGATGAAGGGATCCCAGCATGCCATTGTATTGTTTGTGGTGCTTTGTCGCACATGACATGGATGCAAGATGTCTGAGTGATCCAACTGATAGGACTTGCATAGTGCTGTGGGAAATCAGTGGAGATGCATGATTATTATGATATGTTAGAAACAAGAAAGTAGATAGTAGAAGTCCTGACCTGCTAGGTAAAAGGGCCATATGGGCCACAAAACCCAACCCAATTTGGTCCTTCGCTATCCAAGGTCTTTGGGAGGGGTTAACTGAATGTGGATATAAGTGAATGCCTTGGTCTTAACCCACATGCTAACATTTTTTTACCATTGCATAAGTGATAAGACCTTATGTCCTTACCTGATAGATGAGTCCAATTAATTGGCATTCTGGATGGCTTAGTGAGTGCACAGTCCCTGTAGTCAAGCCCCAAACCTTGCATCTTAAAACATTTGATATACCTCATGGTCATTGTACACCAATTTGTATTATTTTCTTTGTTATACAATTTGTATCTTGGTTGTGTAGGCATTTATTAAAGAAACTAGAACCCCCCACCCCCCACCCCCCACCCTCAACTGGTTACCGCTTGTTCAGGTATATTTCTCTCTTATCTAGCTGTTTTTTTATTATTAATAAAAAAGAACATAACAAATTATGAGAACTGGATATATAAACATGATAAAGTCACTATTTTGCCACATTATCCTTCATATGTATTTTGTTATTAAGTAGCAAGTTTATTTGGATTATTCTTTATCTAAAGCTTTGTGAATGTGTCAGGGATTTCGATATGTGGCTTCTGGACCCATGGTCAGGTCCTCATACAAGGCGGGTGAATTCTACATCAAATCCATGATTGAAGCAGATAGAGCAGCATCTTCCTCGCAGGCTTCAGTCTCCTGAGGGATAAGGGGTGTATTATCCCCTAAACTCATTAAGATCTCTGTTTGTCATTTCTCTTTCCCATCTATTCCATTTGTATATGCAAATCAATGTGATTTTAGCTTTTATTTTGTTTCCTATTTATTGAGAAAACATAACCATGGGGGATGGGGCCCTCTTGCATCTACCCACGTATCAGTTGTTGATGTTCATTAAGCTTCTCATACAAGTAGATTGCGCTCTCTTCTTGTTGGTAATGATTTTGCAGATAAATCTGCCACGTGTAAAAAAAAACCTTGTTAGTCATCAATAATCATTTGCTTATTTTTTTGGTCATCTCAATCATCGTTGGCTGTGGGGGCTACAAGTGTAGAATATGGGAATAAGCTCATGATCCCGAAATCTAGGGTGTGGGACTACATTATTATTATTATTAATGCATCGATTAATTGATCCTCTTGGTCATGCTCATGCACAATACAAGTTGTTAATATGTTCATTCAACAATTTTTTATTTTTTGGGGGACAAATACTCTAGTCTCTAGCATTAGATTCTACACTTTCAACTGTATTTTACTTATTTTTGGAGCTTGTTCTAGTATCTATTGACTAACCACTGGATCATAGTTGAGATTCACAAAGCTCGAGACCTTTAAGTAGCATAGTGGGTAAGATGTTTGGCTTGGGTAGGTCCATTTGAAGTTTCATGAAGCTGAACGTGATGGGTACTAGTTAGTGACTTGGTGGTAAATTTCAGAGCCATGGGGGCTGGTACGGGGAGGGGAGATAGTTCATAGGACCCTCCATTCCTTTAATTGATTGTAATAGAACCTTGTCATCTAGACCCATCCTTTTGTTCTTTCCTTGGTTACCAATAAAAAGCTGCCACTTAATTCAATTGATGGATAATGCATGTGTATGGGACACAGAATTCAGAGTTCAGACATTGAGGCTGTTTGCTAGTGTAAATCCCAGTAGTGGATCCATGATCCATCCACATGTAAAGTACTGTTCCTTGATAATTATTTGTGTTTTCTCACACATGGGTATGGCCTGTTTCTTTCTTGGTTGTAATTTTCATTTAGTGGATGTGATGGAGTGAGTCCAAGCAAAAAGCTAAAGCATCCTAAGATGTTGTTGGTAAATTATTTAAAAAAAAAACATGAAACAAAATAAAGTGGTATTAATTGGTCATCCAACTCAGAGGCAAAAAGTCAGAATGATGCTGACCATCTAGGAAACTTGGGGTGCTGGATTGGTGGTGGGGTGGGTCCCTTTGGAGCTCTAGTGATGGAATATATTTTTTTCTCCTTGAAGCTTGAGGTCTGTAGCCTGTAGGGGGAGGCTGAGTTCACATCTGATGCTGTGATTTCCCAATTAATTTAAGAAGGACGAGGCTATTAAAGGAAAGGGTATCGTGTGGTTGTTTATAAGGTTATTGGATGGTCGCAGCAGATGTGATCTCAGGGTGGGGGGTGCTTCGGGCCTTCGGCTTTTTGATAAAATCACATGAATCATTGATCGATCTTAACGTAAAGGGTGGAGAACATGCGTCGTTTTCCTCGCAGTTACTCTGCTGTTTAGACCTGTTCATGGGCCGGGTGGCCCGACAGGCCGGCCCGGCCCGGCCCGACCCCCGGACGGGCTTGGACACTTTTATAGGCCCGCGGGCTTAAATTCGGGCCAAAAAGCCCGGCCCGCAATAAATTCGAGCTGGGCTCGGGTTTTGTCAAAATAGCCCGGCCCGACCCAACCTAATATTAAACTTAAAATTATTTATGTGATTATGTCCATTTGAATAATTTTTTTGATTTA